ATGAAAGGGGGGGGGGGCGTAATGCTGACGAAGGGATGGGCGTGATGCTGACAGGGGCATGGGTGTGATGTTGACGATGAAAAAGGCGTGATACTGACAAATGAATGGGAGTGATATCAATGTATGGGCGTGATGCTGACGAAGGCATGGGCGTTTTAAAGGCAGTCGTGTTATAGGCTTTGGCTCTGGGCCAACTTTTATCGATCAATATAATGTAATATTACTGTCATTTTTTAAAGCCTAGAGCGTTCGGGTCCCAAGACCTATTGGCTGGGTTTAAATCCATAAATAAAAAAAAAAGTTTCACAAAAAAATCTATATATATTTAGTAATAAATAACAATACCACTAATGGTAAAAAATAATAACAAAACAACAACACCAACAACAACAACAACTCGGACTGGGACGAAAGTACTTTCCTTCCGAAGAGAAAAATATTCGATTTTTTTCATAGCAGAAAAAAGATGAACAAAAGAAAATCCGCGTTGGAATAAATAAATAAATAAATAAATAAATAAATAAATAATATATAAATTAAGATAATCGTGAATAGATGAGAGTGTGGTGGTGGGAGGAGAGGGGAGGGAAGGAGGAGGGCGAAGAAGAAAAAGGGGAGGGGAAGAAAGGGGAAGAAGAAAGGATAAGGAAAAGATGAAGGAGGGAAGGGGAAGGGAAGGATATGGGAAGGGAAGAAGGGGGGACGAGGAGGAGGAGATAAAGGAAGAGGAGGAGGAGGAGAAGAAGAAGGAGATGGAGAAGTAGAAAAGATAAAAGGAGAATAGAGAAGCGGGGAAGGGAGAAGAGTTAAAACGCGTTCGTAAGTGAGAACCTCGGAAGGCCACTGGGGGGTAGGGGTAGGGGGGGTTGATGGGGGGAAGGAAGGGAAGGGGAAGGGAGAGGGGAGAGAGAAAAGAGAGAGAGAGAAAAGAGAGAGAGAGAAAAGAGAGAGAAAAGAGAGAGAGAGAGAGAGAGAGAGAGAGAGAAAAGAGAGAGAGAGAAAAGAGAGAGAGAGAGAGAGAGAGAAAAGAGAGAGAGAGAAAAGAGAGAGAGAGAGAGAGAAAAGAGAGAGAGAGAAAAGAGAAAGAAGAGAAAGAGAGAGACGGAGGGGAATGTATCGCTATAGCAACAAGCAAGCAGGACGCGAAGGCACAAAGCAGGACCAGAAGAATGTAGGTTATAACACACACACACACACACACACACACACACACACACACACACACAAACACACACACACACACACACAAACACACACACACACACACAAACACACACACACACACACAAACACACACACACACACGCACACAAACACACAATAATAATAATAAAAATAAATAAATACTAATACGAAAATAAGAAAAATAATAAACATATAAATAAATTAATTAAAAACAAAACACGAAGTACTCACAATATAATAAAAAAAGGAAGAAGAAGAAAAATAAGAAAAGAGAGTGCATGGCCGGAGCGCTGGTCGGCCAGCGGAGCATGCAGAGCGAGTGGTGTTTGGGGGGGAGGGGCTATTGCAACTTTTGCAACATTTTCCCCTTTTTTACTTGGGGCTCTCGTGACTTCAGGTGTATTGCAACTTCGACTTCTGAAGGCTAAGGATTTCATAACTTGATCACCTTGATTCGGCGTGAGAGACAGACAGACAGATAGATAGATAGATAGATTGAGAGAAAGAGAGAAAGAGAGAGAGAGAAAAAAAGAGAAAAAGAGAAAAAGAGAGAGAGAGAGAAAAAGAGAAAGAGAAAAAGAGAAAGAGAGAGAGAAAAAAAGAGAAAGAGAAAATAAGAAAGAACCAGAGAGAAAGAAAGAAAATAAGAGAAAGAGAGAGAGAAAAAGAAGAAAACAGAGTGCATGGCCGGAGTGCTGGTCGGCCAGCGGAGCATGCAGAGCGAGTGGTGTTTGGGGGGGGAGGGACTATTGCAACTTTTGCAACATTTTCCCCTTTTTTACTTGGGGCTCTCGTGACTTCAGGTGTATTGCAACTTCGACTTCTGAAGGCTAAGGATTTCATAACTTGATCACCTTGATTCGGCGTGAGAGACAGACAGACAGATAGATAGATAGATTGAGAGAAAAGAGAGAGAGAAAAAAGAGAAAGAGAGAGAGAAAAATGAGAGAGAAGAGAGAGAAAAAAACGAAAGAGAGGAAAAAAGAGAGAGAAAAAAGAGAAAGAGAGAGAGAGAGAAGAGAAGAGAGAGAGAGATGAGAGAGAGAGAGAGATGAGAGAGAGAGAGAGGAGAGAGAGAGAGAGAGAAGAGAGAGAGAGAGAGGAGAGAGAGAGAGAGAAAAGAGAGAGAGAGAGAGAGAGAGAAAAGAGAGAGAGAGAAGAGAGAGAGAGAGAGAAAGAAAGAAAGGAAGAGGACAACCAGAATAAACACCAACATGAAGATGAAAATAAAGAAGAAGAAAACAGAAGAAAAACAAAAATGAAGAAAAAAAAAAAGAAAAAACAATCAATCAATCAAACAAAAGAAACATGACGCAAGGCAAGGGAAGGAAGAAGCAACAAGCAAACCTTGCAAGCACAGGTAACCCCGAATTACACCTCTGATTCGATCCAACGCACTCGCTCAAGAGGTAATATTCTCACTTTGGAAAAAAAGGGGTAGACATTCCTTCGACATGACTAATATCGTGTCTTCGCTCTTTGCCCGTTTCTAGCGTTCAAAATGGTGATCATACCAATACCAATAATAGCAATAACGATAACAACAACAATAACAAGAACATGAACAACTATAACAAAAAAATAATAACACAAGAACAACTATAACAAAAAATAATAACAAATACAACAAAAACAATCACAGAATACACACACACAAAAACAATGAAAAAAAAAAAACGGAAAACTCATCCGTGTTGCAAGGGTTGAAAAAAAAAAACAACTCCATTAAATTCCAATCGCTGTGCTTGTGCTTGCAAGAAGCTCGCCCGGCCAGCGCCCACGTGGAGGGAGGGGGGGGGGGGGAGTCATCAGCATCGCCTTGTGGACTTGTGGACGCTTCAATCCTTTCCCAGTTGTGATATGTCATGTCATATGTCATATGGGATTGGACAGTCGAAAAGGTTCTAAGGCGATTTCCTTGGCGTTTTCTCTCGTTTTTTGTGTTGATCTATTCTTTGTCTGTCTATGTCTTCTATGTCTTTCTCTCTCCTTCTCATTATCGCTCTCTCTCATTCTATCTGTCTGTCTGTCTCTTTCTCTCTCTCTATGTGTCTATGTCTGTGTCTATGTCTATGTCTATGTCTATGTCTATGTCTATGTCTATGTCTATGTCTATGTCTCTCTCTCTCTGAAGATGAAGAAAAGGA